AAAGTAATGCATTACAATATTGCGTTACTCCCTAAAAAAGTAACTAATTACGTTACTTAGTTACTTTTTATGGAAAGTAAAATTGTAATGAATAAACCTCAGGCTGAAGCAAAAGTAAATTCACGTCTGTACAGTAGAACGCAGGAGAAGAAACACACTTCAGCAATAAAAAAAAACAAAGCACTATTGTTAGTTTCTCTAAAGTCATTTTTGCTTATTAGTATGGTTGAATAACACTCCAAAGAGAAAGGAAAACTTGAAATCGCATCATATGACCCCTTTAATACTTGTTATATAATATTAAAATTCATTTATACATAGCACACACCAATATTGACTATATGTACATTTAAAAAAGATTGATTGTTTCATTGTCAATAAAACTGGTATTATCTGTACTTTCCAGTATTGAATGACACTTTTTCAGTATTGAAAATATCTATCTCTACAATTTGTTCTGGTATTCCGGGATTGTCTTCTCTGTTACAAATACATTTGAATGTGTTTTACAATTCATCCAAAATGAAGTGTGATATAAGGTTGCCTTTTAGAAAGGTGTTTGCATCATTAATATGAGCGTGGGTAAGTGGGTAGCTCGCTAGGTTTTGGAACAGAGCTTCTATGTAAATTTATGTGTGTGTGGTAGATGTCTCGTTTGTATATTTGTGAGTGCGTAATGGGGTTTGGATTTTGTTTACGCTGTTACTAAGCATTACCAAATTGCGAGCTAAAGTGTAGCCTCTGTCACACCATTTTAGTCAGGGCCGTGAACATCATATGAAGTGGGCAGTTGGCAGACGTGACGGCACATTGTTTGTTTTTCAGAAAACGGCCTTGCTGACTGTTGTGCAATTGTTTGAGCGGACTTGTCTGTATGCGAATAAAAATCTGTTTTAGCAGGGGATAACTGCAGATTGAAATTGTAAATCCTCGTCTTCACCCAGGGAGCAGGTCTACCCCATTCCCGTCTTGTGAGAGACCCAGTCGGGACCTCTGGGCCAAGAGATTTAATGAAAGCACAATCTGCACTCAAGACATTTTCATTTCATCTGAACTAAACCCTTCCTCCCTGTTATATCTCCACAGCTACCTGAATGATTTAGACAGAATATCGCAGGCCACCTATATACCCACTCAACAGGATGTGCTGAGGACTCGAGTCAAAACCACAGGCATTGTTGAGACACACTTCACTTTCAAAGACCTCCACTTCAAGTGAGCACTTCAGGTTGCTTTATTCCAAAACTGCCAAAAACATATTCTTGGCTAATCTAATTTCAACCTAAAAATCACAAGAAAAAGAAATGATAGTTTGCACAAAAATCAAGCCTATTTTAGGACCATTTTGGACTTTTTCTGTTCTCCAATTCTCAGTAGCTTACAATAATACAAGAAAATCTCATTATTATTGAAGTGAGAAAATATTATTTTTCAATATATATATATATATATATATATATATATACACACACCATATATGTCATGCACTTGCAAATACTTAAATTGAGAAGTGCATTTGTAGAATGTAATTGTACATGTACAGTATGCTAGTATTAGTTGTACTGAATTTATGCTGATTGTAATAAAACAAATTATAAAACATTATTACAGTAATGGAAATTTGGGGAAAATTTGTATAATTGTCAAATTATAATACAAAAAATCTTAATGGTTCAAATATGTAGGGGAAAAAAAAAATATATATATATATATTTTTTTAGGGTAAATATGACTTCATATTGATGTATTAGCTTTATTACACTTAACATAATATCAAATGCATTTGCATATCGAAGGATTGAACTATTAGGAAGTACGTCATAGTTTAGACTGTGGAGATACTGTGTGACTGCAATCATGTGCAAGAATGATAGAAAAGAGAAGCAGAGAGAGACAAATGGAGAAGTGTCAGTCTCGTACTGGTTTGCACTCTGATTCAGACAGGAAGAGGAAGTACATATCGTCAGTTTCTTTGCCCATATTTAGCTATAGACCTCTCGGAGTTGAAAACTATTGTTCAACTCAATATCTGTGTATGCTATGTATTTTTATGCTTATTAGAGCAGCAGTAGCTTAGCAACATGCTAACACCGAACTCTATTAAAAGCAATTGTCTCATAAGAACACTATTTTTGGAGTACCACAACAATCACTTCTGTGGTTTGATTTCAGCTAGTATGCTCCCTTAATAAGGCAGCTCACTAGTTTAGAACAGAGTTACAGAAACTTGATAACCATTTTAAAATGTCATGTATTTCAGGATGTTTGATGTTGGGGGTCAAAGGTCAGAGAGAAAAAAATGGATCCACTGTTTTGAAGGTGTAACTGCCATCATCTTCTGCGTGGCACTGAGCGATTATGACCTGGTGCTGGCCGAAGATGAAGAGATGGTACCAAAGTACTTCCTGTGGCTTTAAAAAATACAGAATTAAAGTGCTTGCAAGGCAGTGTATATAGAAAGTCCACTTTTTCTTTTTCTTTCATTTGTTATTACATTTTGTGGTTCAAGCTGGAAGCATGAAATGTGCAAACTTCAAACTTTTTTTTTTATATAGTAAATGTTAGTTTTTGAATGGCCAGTGGAAGATTTACATATTTTTCTTAAATTACTTAGAATTTATTTGTGTACAGAATTGTGATTTGCCTACTTTCTACTTTTTATTAATTAAAAATAAAACATTTTTGTTAACTGAAATAAAGCTTAAATCAAATCAAATATTAATATTAGATGAAAAACAAACGTACATTTTTCTGCCTTGCAAGCATTGGTATTTCTGTATTTCATACAGAAAATGTAAATCTGTATACTGTGGTCTTAAATCGATAGTTGCCCAAAAAAGACAATTCTGTAAATTTACTCAATCTTACATTAGAAGAAAAACAATGAAATGGCATATGATAGCTTTGTGTGAGCAACAATCTGACATTTAAGTTATTTAACAAAAACCCAGTTTTAGCAACTAGGACATTCCGCTACATAACTGCTTTTATCCCTGTAAACCTATTATAGATTTGATAAAAATCCTATTGTATACAGGTCCTATTATATGAAATCTATTTGAATGTGTGAATGGGGGGTAAATTAAGCCTGACGAGAAAACCAGTTCTTGCATTTATCATATAATCCATGTCAATGTCATATTGATTCAGTTCGAGTCCTACTTTATTAAGGGTTCGCAAATAGGTATTGATTGATTTAATGGTAAATGGCAGAGGGATAAAGCACATCTCCACCCCCAGTCTGTATTCCATAAATCAAGCTTTCGAGCTGTGTTGAAAGGCAACTCGATAGAAAGATGTAGTCACTACAGTAAATCATCACTGAGTAGACTGTGTATATTATTGTGTGACATAATATATTGTTTAAAGTTGCTTCCAAGCCAAGATGCTTAATCGACACCCCCTTTCTATTTCTCGAAGTCCTCATTTCTTATATTCCATCAACCAATTTTTCTTTCTGCAGAACCGAATGCATGAGAGCATGAAGCTGTTTGACAGCATCTGCAACAACAAGTGGTTCACGGACACCTCTATCATCCTGTTCCTGAATAAGAAGGATCTGTTTGAGGAGAAAATCAAGAAGAGCCCGCTCACCATCTGCTACCCAGAATACGCAGGTCAGACCCCCATACTGGATTTGTAACAATATATTGTATTTTGTCATTTTCTATTTTCATTTAAATTTTGGTTAAAGTTTTAGTAATTTTGTTTGTTTTGTATTTTGTCATTTTCATTATTTATTTATTTTTAATTCGTTTGATTAAATTTTAGTTTTAGGCTCAGTTCATTTAGTACTTCAACTAACTAATCCAAGTTTAGATTTTTTTATGGCGCAGGTGCAACATTATTTCCACTCCGTAATTTTAAAATTGTGATTTTCAAGTCTGGATAAAATGTTATATAAAATGTTAAATGTTATTGAAAAATTATGGACACAGCTCTAAATTATTATTCAACATGGGGGCTTGAAGGCCAGAGCAAAAATCACAACCTTAATCATTATCAATGGAATAACATTTGTGTGGTCCTTTATATATTACATTGTTTCCAGTTATTTTATATGTCACAGGAACAAGTGACATCACTTCCTCATATTGAAAATATTTCCTGTCCCATCTCACAGGGTCAAATACATATGAAGAGGCTGCCGCCTACATTCAGTGTCAGTTTGAAGATCTGAATAAGCGGAAAGATACCAAGGAGATCTACACTCACTTCACCTGCGCCACCGACACCAAGAACGTGCAATTTGTCTTTGACGCAGTGACCGATGTCATTATCAAGAACAACCTGAAGGACTGCGGACTCTTCTAGAAGCTGGCTTGTATCTGGTGAGGATCAGCTTTGTAAATGTCATGTGCGCCTCTGTCATGCTGGTGTGCTGGCCACGCAGTGTGTGTTTATATGCAAAATAATCAATGTTCGTATTGCGGATGAAGTCACATACTTGGCCTGGAGCCATCATGGAATAAACACTGCAGAACAAATGTGTGTTTAAAGGTCATGTGTGTAGTTGATTCATTGTTTTGGTAAAGAATTATAATTTTTTGGTGAATGATTCTTCATGGCATGAGTTTAGGGCCGGACTACCTCCTAGGGGGCAAAAGCTTTTTAATTCGCATTCAGACTAGGCTTGCCGCAATAGACGGTGCTGACGGTGATACCGGTGTTAAGCCGCAACACCGGTTACGTCACTTTCCCTTCTTATTTATTTGGTAATATATAATACATGTTTACTTATTTCCACTTATATGTTTACTTATTGTTTTGTATACCTATTTAAACTTTATGCAAGTTATTTTATATTAGGCATAGCCTTCACTATAACATGGTGTATTTTTAATCGTTTTGTTAATAAAAGTTCTATGTTTTATATATAGGCTAAAGTGAGTTTGACGTTGTATTTTGTTGTTGCATTCAAGCAATTGACGCCGAACTGCCGCTAGTGAAAGTAAAATGCACATGGCGCTTTTAAGCTATTTAAAAGCGAAGGAAAGCGAGGAAAAGAGGGAATGCCCCGCCCAAACGAACAATTGCTTTACACCGAATTGCCGCTATTTGAAAGTGAAAGTAAAATGCTCACGCTGCTTTTACAAGCTATTTAAAAGCAAAGGAAAGCGAGGAAAAGAGGGAACGCCCCGTCCCCCACGGTATTACCCCACGTTATTACCGGTGTTGTCACACGTCGATTAACCGGTGGGAAAATTTCCTCACCGTCACAACCCTAATTCAGACACATTCAGATTAAAAACTTGAACTTGAACTTTCTATTCATCAAAGAATCATGAAGAAAAAAAGTGTATCATGATAATAAAAAAAATATGTATCAATGCTTTCAACATTGACAATAATAAGAAATGTTTCTTGAGAACCAGATCAGCATATTAGAATTTCTGTGACTGAAGACTGCTAATGGCTGCTGAAAATTCAGCTTTGATGGAATAAATTACATTTTTAAATATATAAACAAATAAATTAAAATTTTAAATATATTAAAACAGAAAACAGTTAACTGTAATTGTAATAATAATATTATTTCACACTATTACTTTTTAATGTATTTTTTGATTCTGAAAAAAAAAAAATGCAGCTTTGGTGAGCACAAAATCCTACCAATGACAAACTTTTGAATGGCAGTGTTTCTATAATCATAGCATTACATACCACCTTTTAATCATGATGTTAAATGTTGAATTGTAATGATGGGTGTGAACTAAACAACTAAAATTTGCAGTAAGTAGTTTACTCTTTATGCCTTGTTCGAATATGATTTAAGTCACATTTAAGTAACTCTTTTCTTTTTTTTCATTTTAGGTGCAACGGAAGCCAGTTTTGATGTGCATTTTGTTGGAGAAAGATTGCAAGGATAAGTATGGAGAAAATTGGTCTTGGACCAGTGCTGTACATTACGCCACTTTTGTCAGCTTTATTTATGGTTTTTGTCTCTGGAAATTTTAAAACGTAGCATTTAAAAATTAATTGTGTCGAATGTTCGTACAGTCGTTGCTGTCGCAGCCATGTTGTTTATTTTTCACCCTGACAAGTTTGTTTCTTTTAGATGATGGATTTCTTTTTATTTTGCTTTCTTGCATCAGAGGAGTTCCCCTTTACTTGTAAAATGTTACTTTTTCTTTTTTTTTGCCGTTGCGGTTGTTGCTATGGGGAGAGAGGAAGATTGTGCTTCTCAATCCCTCATACTGGATGTTACTAATCTGAGAGCACAAATCCTCATATGCATAATGTGGGTGTGTGAGAGAGAGAGAGTGTTTGTGTATCTGTTTGCGTGTGTATGTATATATATATATATATATATAAAATATGCGATGTAGTGAAAGCTAATGGTTAATACAGTGAGCGGTGGCCCAAACCTGCGGGTCTCCATGGCAACAAGAGTAGACCAAACAGTCATTTCAGATGGAGATGAGTCCTGTTCAGCTGTCAGTTCCGCACGCAGGACTTGGAATGTGTCTCTCAAGCACCTGTCATCAGACACTAGCCGCCGTTATAACGGCTTACTGCTCGGAGAATTACGTGTCACCGAGGAACGCAACTGAGAGACAGAGGGACTGAGAAGGGGTTCGGGATTCACAGAGAAAAAAACAACAACAATATGATAATGTCTGCAAACAGATGTTTGAGGCAAGCGATACTGTTGATTGATTTTGAAGAAAACTGCCACCTCTGTCTGTGTGTTCTCCATATTGGGGGAACATTTGTACACTCATTTCCCTTATTTTGCTAATAAAAGGCATTTACTTCCCTGAGTTGTATATTTGTAGTCTTTTGTCACCCTCTACTCATCCCTATCTTCTCACTGGCTTGAGAAAGAAATTCTAAAGCAGCCACACATGTATGATATGAGGAGAAAGCAACCCTAAAATGTATTGCAACAAGCTCAGTGAAAAAGCTAATCCAAAATGGCCAACACAATGTAAACGTACACTTCATTCTGTACCAAAAAGTATTTTTATTAGTAATAGTTTAGTGTGCTTTAAAATTGATTATTTTACCTAATATTTTTTTCCGAACCAGAATACCACACTATTAGCTTAGCCTCATGCTAACATCAAACTCCACTGAAATCAATTGCTAATCAAATCTCCTGAGTGGAATATAAAACTCTGTTCTATGTAAAGTGTGCCAAATCACTCACGAGGTTCCATGTCAGATTCACATTTACCGCTGCTCAGTCATTTATTTGTTGAAAGTGACTTCGGTGTGAGCGGTGCTTTGTGCATCGCTACACTATTAACAATAGCAAATGGACTCTCATTAGCTAATTTTGCTAATGGTTTGTGAGTCTATATAAAGGCCTTCATATCCTTGTCAGTCAACATAAAAAATGTCATTCACAATTCATTGCACTTTGTAAAGTGTCTTTCCCAGTGAAATGGGGAAAATAATGTACAATGGAACTTTATTTATCCATCAGGAACTGACTGGATTATAAGAAAGTGGGTGTACTAAAGAAAAATGAAGCCAGTCTTGAATGAGAGTTTGCTAAAACAATTCCCAAATAGCTGTCTGGCTATTGGCTAACATTATGACTGGCTCACTGACTGCCAAGAAAAAATGTAATGAAATCAGTGTGCTAATAGAAGCTTCAGACAATTATAGCCCCCTGTTGCCTCAGATAAGACTCCGGGTGGTATTTTCCTAACCTGTTTATAGTAAAAGCATGCTATGAAGTGTAGTTGCTGGATCCATAGCTGGGCAAATGGAAGCACTGAAGATTACAAGCTACTCTAGGGAATCATCCAGAGAACCTGGCATGAATATAGGTCACAAGCCAGGGAGCCAGTAGAGGAGGATATAGAAAATATCACTAAAACAGCTTTTTAGTGCTCATAGTTTTGTTGAAAAGGGGAAATCCATAGTAAACTTCTGTTTTTCTTTCTTTCCAAGAAAGGGATGGACATTTCTAGGTGATTAAAACTAAAGTCAGAAATAAAATGTGTGCTTCAAATGTCTGTGCCATTAACCCAAATGTGTTATTATTAAAATGTGTTAGATTTTTGTCTCCACAAAAAGTGTATTTCACACTTTTAAGACCCCTACTACCAAGTACTGACAAAACGTATATTATAATACAATAAAAATATATGTGAGAATATTTAAATAATCATAGAATATAAAATGTGCACTTTTATGATCTTTTTTTTTTAGCTTATCCAAAAAGTTACGTTTGTAGGCCAAGCAGGTTTTCTAATGGAAAACTGAAAATTGCTTTGCTTATCTAATATGATATGACGTGTAACTAGAAGCATTGGTACTCATGTAAATATTCGTTGTTTTTGTGCTCGCTTGAATATTTTCGCACCTACGTCATCTGCAAATCCTCACCTTCACAGACAGCTGAACCACAGTGCTCTCTCTTTCTTCAACTTGAGGTCAGGGCTGACGTGCTGAGTGCTATATTTATGAGGATTTGCTGCCTGTGGAGGAAGAACAAGACAAGAAAAGATGAAAAGATCATGCTGTATTTTTAGACGAAGAAGAAGAAGAAGAAAAAAAAAAAGAGCGAGATAAATTAGTGATGATGTCATAAGGGGGTGGGGGCTGGGGGGATGGTGATGTAGCAGTTTGACAGTAGCTGCATTGCTGACAAACTCTCTGACACAAATGAGCTGAACGACTGATGTTTTTCAGAGAACAAAGAACATTATTGTAGTGCTTCTTTCTATATGTATTCATGTGTGTTTGTGATTACCAGTTAGCAGCACAGTGATAAAGGGTCTTATCAGTGTTGTTCCAGCCCTGTACACAATGTCAGTGTCAGGCACCTTATTTAGCACAAAATGAATGCCACTTCCCTTACCTTGGTTTCAAAAACACACACAAACGCATTATAATATATATATGCACGCTCACACACACACACACACATATATAAATGAAAAAAGCAATATAAAAGTATGATATAAGAAAGCTGTACAACCTTTGCACTATATTCTGTTAAGTCTCCCAAAGTTGACATTTTCAGCAAACAATTACTCATGTGTCTTTGTTCCTCACATCAAATTGCTTCAGAAGGTATTTTCATAACATAAGCGCTCCAGTCCCCATCCACTTTCACTGTATGGAAAGGAGCAGTTTGGACATTCTTCAAAACAGCTTTTTTGGTGTTTCTAAATTTTGATGGTATGAGGGGGGAGTAAATTGTTCGACTAAATGTACCTGAAGGAAACTCTCATTTTTATTTGAACTATCCCTTTAAGGCTCACATAAAATGAGTCATATAACCACTTTTTGGTGGATCCTGTACTGTAAACCGATTGATAATTTCTTTGGCACATGAGTGTGTCTAATTGTTGCATCCATTGAGCACTCAGTGTTCTCTGTTGAGTGTGGGAGACGAGAAGCATTACATTTTCCATTAGTGACCTTCTCACACAAATTTTAGACATGTTGTAAAGCATTAATTTGATTAATAGATAGCACTTCCATCGAAGCAAGAAGCTTTTGAGCATAGAAACTGCACATCCAAACACACAATTTAGCGTTTCAGTTTACATACCCAAAGCTTTGGTAATCTAAATAAATTATAACTTGATATAATTTGCACAAACCTAAAAAAAAAAAAAAAGCTGTGCTTGATGCACGTGTATAATATATATTTTACCTCTTTCTCTGTAACCAGCAGCCTTTTTCTTTCATATTAATGCATGCCCCGTGATGTCATCAACTCTGGACTCCATAGCAACAGAGATATTCCTTTGGTCTGGTGATGCCTTCAGCAGGCTGTTATTAATAGCTCCTGATGTTTTCACTGGGACATTGAACAATGCATAAAGGCGCACATGTACTCATGTTCGGCTATTATAGTTCTTAGAACCGATTTTTGATGTGGTTCATGTCAGCTGAACAATGACTAATTTTGAGCATTTTCATAAAACAGCTACCTAGAAACAGCACTAAAGAGTCCATTTAAAAACAAATGAACATTCATCGACAGTGAAAAGAGGCTGCTATCATTTTCCACAAGCTGATAGCAAACGGTTAAAGTGGGTCACAAAACGATTTTGTCACCCACTCTGCGATCAGTTTGTTTTTCCCTCTCACTCTCATTCTCGCTCTCCCTTTATTGCTAATTTCTCACGGTATGCATACATTCATCCCACATCTTGCTGCTTTAGTATACAGTGCTCATATCATATTAGGAAAACTCAACAAAAACACAGTTTATTCATACAGACATGAATAAAACTTGAAAGAGATGTGCTCTTTTTTTCAAAGAGTCAGACTGATGATTGTACGGCTGACAATAAAACAGATGAAAACTTCTCATATACTCACGTAGACAGGCATTTAAGGACCAAAATGGGTCTTTTTGCCTTTATCTTTTTATTTTTAACAGTAATATTGTGAAATATTATAAAGATTTTAAATAACTGTTTTCTATTTTAATAAATCGTCAAATGTAATTTATTCCTGTGATGGCAAAGCAGAATTTTAAAATACTAGTCTGGTAATAATTTTTTTTTTTTTTTCAGGTTTCTTTAAAGGTTTTTTTCAGCATTTATTTTAAATAATTTTTTACAATGAAAAGTCTTACTGTCACTATTAATCCATTAAAAAGCATCCTTGCTGAATAAAATTCATTTTAAAGGGGTCATATGATGTTGCTAAAAAGAACATTATTTTGTGTATTTGGTGTAATGAAATGGGTTTATGCGGTTTAAGGTTAAAAAAACACATTTTCCACATACTGTACATAATTGTTTTTCTCTATGCCCCGCCTTTCTGAAACGCGTCAATTTTTACAAAGCTCATCGGTCTGAAAAGCAAGGTGTGCTGTGATTGGACAGCTATCCAGTGCGTTGTGATTGGCCGAATACCTCAAGCGTGTGACGGAAATGTTACGCCCCTCACCATATTGTGATGATGCTCTGTCAGGCCGGAGCGATGATTCAAAAACATGAAAACCCATTATAAACGAGGCATTCGTTGCATCCAGTGGGCACATAATTATGGATTATAATGACGATTTGAGACTTTAGTCTTTGCAACTTTACAGATCTTCTTTATGCACCAAGAGCTTGTAACACTCCAAAGAGAAAGGAAAAAGTGAAATCGCATCATATGACCCCTTTAAATAATTTAATTGAGTAATTAATTTCAATCTTACTGACCCCAAATGTTTGAACAGTAACACTAGAAATAAAAGTCTGAATCCTTAAATGACATTTACTGTAGACAGACATGACCAACAGTTTCAGTTGGTACACTTACGCAATGTTCTCGTAGTGAACGCACATCCTGCGTCTTTAGACTTTCAGTCCAGGCTCAAATATGAAAACAAACGGTGAATATCTGTTATATTTAAGCATTGTATCACAGGATGATGACTGTCTGGATATAGCAGCATGGGTTTGTTGGGGCAGATGTTTATGTTGTTTTACCGAATCGAGAGAATCTGTGGGCAGAACGCTGAGAGTTCTTGCATGAATCATCTAAAGCATGGCCTACATTTCTGAGTCTGAGTTCATACTGTGACATGAAGACACAATTTATATGCAGAGCAGCAGCCCACAAACGCTCCTGCGTCTGTAAACAAGGAAAGAGAAAATACAATGCTGTTACACAAACAACATGTTCATCATGCCATTATTCTGGTCGGTTCTGGCACCATTTTAACCTGCCAGAACGAAATGGATTTGATCAGATGAACATGGCTGTTGAATATTAAGCAGGTGAATGCTCAGTTAGCATAGTAACATCTGTCCTCCAGTCATTAAAATGTGCTGTTTCCAGCCCACCACATGGAGCAGCGCCACCGCTTAAGCACTTAATGGATGATGGTGAGCAGCACTGGAGCTCCGTCATATATATTTAATCAGTTAATTTGTCATTTAGACATGCTGCTTTCAGAAACTCTTTACCTAATTTATAAGGATGAAAAATGCACAGGCTTAATTCATTCCTCATGCATGCTAAATGTGGATGACCATTTTATGTTCGAATGAAGGCTGCTTTAATTATTGTGACCTTTTAGCATCAGACAATAACGTATCAATTGAATAACGTGTATAAATACATATAATAAATAATCACATTGACATAAATAATTAACTAAGCGCTTTTGATCTTTTTTCGGGAATTTGATAACATTTTGGCAAATAGCACATAATGTTCCCTTGACACTCAACAACTGTGTTCAGAAAAATTGTCCAATTACACAATCGGAAAAGACTTACTGTTGGTTGGGTCAAAGCAATCAGCAATTTCTGGATGACCATTTTATGTTCGAATGATGGCTGCTTTAATTATTGTGACCTTTTAGCATCAGACAATAACGTATCAATTGAATAACGTGTATAAATCCATATAATAAATAATCACATTGACATAAATAATTAACTAAGCGCTTTTGATCTTTTTTCAGGAATTTGATAAAATTTTGGCAAATAGCACATAATGTTCCCTTGACACTCAACAACTGTGTTCAGAAAAATTGTCCAATTACACAATCGGAAAAGACTTACTGTTGGTTAGGTCAAAGCAATCAGCAATTTCACACCCTCTCAATTTCTAAATGAAAGGACAAACCCCAAGCTGTTCAATTCCTCATTCTGATTTATCGAGTGGTGGAACATGCTGTCCTGTATCACAGCGCCACCCAAAGGACACGGAAGGAATGATTTGTTCACCGCCTCGTTGAGGGTCTTCATACACGCACACTTTATGTTTTTTTAATGCATATGCCTAATATAGCAGACATCAAACATCTAATATACAAGTACTTTGGTAGGTTAAGTAATGAAGTCATTAAACAAACAAATAGTGTTAATGGTTAAAACTAAATTAATATTTTTTTCTGATAGTGTGCATTAATGAAGAGTCTTAAAGCATGTGTTGTGGGATTAATTAATTCTCAGGGGCTCTGCTGTTTCCTGTGTGGGAAAGCAAAGCTCTTTAATGGGAGTCATGGAGTCAGTCATCAAAACGAAGCTGAATGCACACTCATCCAGAACAGAGTGGGAGCATTCATGATGGAAATTATCCAGAGACCCATTTATCATTTGAAACAGTACTATAGATTTGTATTCTAGATGTTATAAAGGGGAAAATATATGCATGAATCAGACATTAATTTTAAGCATTTCATATGGAAAAATCATATGATATAAATACCTTATGCCATCCTAATACCTTCAGAATACTGCATAATTTATTTACAAAAAGTTACATTTTAAAAATGTATGTTATGCATATGAATTTGTGGTGTTTGTACACTACTACAGTTCAAAAGTTTGGGATCCGTAAAATGTTTACGTTTTTAGTTAGTCTCTTATGTCCACCAAGGTTGCATTTGTTCAAACAAAAATACAGTAAAGACTAAGCAATATTCTGAAATAATAATACAATTTAAAATAACTTGTCTATTTAAATATATTTTAAAATGTAATCATTTATTCCTGTGATGGTGAAGTTGAATTTTTAGCATCATTACTTCAGTCATCAGTGGAGTGCATCATTTCTGAATAAAAGTAGCCTATACATTTTTTTATATAAATAAAGAAAGAAAGAAAGAGCAGTATAAGGCACTTTAATGATGTCAGGTATTATAATTAAATTCCATTCATTTAAATTTCTTTGTGATGCACTTGGTTATAATTTTGACATACTAATAAGTGTAAGAGTGGACGATTTCTTTCTGCACAGTGAAACTGCATTTTTCTGGACATAAAAAGTATTTAACTAAATATTGAGGATTGTGAGGCACTAAACTATTTCTCTTTTTATGAAATAATACATGACTAACATGATTAGTTATCAGCAGTGAGAAAGTAAACTATTCTGTTAGAGCAAACTAAAAATATCAAAACAAATACAATCTTGTAAGACAGGGGTGTCCAAACTCAGTCCTGGAGGGCCGATGTCCTGTAGAGTTGTAAGAAGACAAACAAGAAAAGACATCACAGTTTGAGATGCCTCCATTGCCATTTCCTGTGAAAGTGGGCACCTGTCTCAATGTTCCTCTCAGACAGATCCTCATTCTGCTTCATTGCACACAAATATGGAGATTTAAAAGGCCTATCTGCTGTTTTTTCCATGCACCGCCATGTCCACACGTACATGGGTATTTTTTAAAAGTTTTTCCTTCTTCCGTTTAAAAAAAAAATCTCCGTCCACATGAAAACGCAAACGCATGCTATGAAGCACTGTCAAGAGCATGCCTAACCAACAGGTGGCGATATAATCTCAACCGTAAAGCCATGTTGGCCAATCAGAAGCCTGAAAAAGTTTCCAGTAGGCGGCGATAACAGCGCAGGCTCCGACGTCACAAGCCAAAAACTCCGGTTTCGCTATCTACACGACAACACTGCAACCGGAGTTT